AAGCAAGACAGCCATGATCAGCTTTGGTTATTCTTGGTCTAGCTGAGGATCATCAAGCGTTTCCTACCTCAGCAACACTTCAAAGAGTCCAGCGACACTTCAAAGGCTCACCAGGTTTTTCTTATTCCTGCAAATGTTTTTGTAGACTTGAGCCCACTTTGTCAGAAGCGACAGAGTGGGCTCTCACTCAGCGCAATGAAGGCTGAGTGAAAACAATAGAGAAATGAATTGGACAAAACAAACAGATTACAAAGTTCTCAAAGAGATGGCACATGGTGGTCATGGGAGATTTCAGTTACCCGGATATCTGTTGGAAGTCCAACTCTGCCAAAAAGGAAAGGTCCAATAAATTCCTGAGTTCATTTCCAGAAAGTGGAGAGGGAAACAAGAGGATCTGCTATCTTGGACTTGATTCTTACCAACAGGGAAGAACTGGTTGATGAGGTGAAAGTAGTGGGCACCCTGGGTAATAGTGATTTTGGAATTTTGGAATTTACATTCTTGGGGAAGGTAAAAGCTGTACATAGAAAGACATAAAGGTTGGACTTCAGGAAAGCAAATTTTGACAACCTTAAAGTTATGCTGGGTAGAATCCCATAGACAGAAATAATTAAGGAGAAAGGAGTTCAAGAGGGATGGGAGTTTCTTAAAAGTGAAATAGTGAAGGGACAATCACAAACAATTCCTATGAGAAGGGAAAATGGGAGGGGCCTAAAGAAGCCAAGGTGGCTCCATAAACAGCTTTCTAAAGACTTGAGAAATAAGAAAAGACTCATTCAGAAAGTGGAAGGAGGGCCAAGGATGACTATAAACAAATAACCAGTGCTTGTAGAGAGAGTTAGAAAGCTAAAGCTCAATATGAGCTTAGGCTAGTGAGAGATGCTAAAAACAACAAAAAAGGGTTCTTTTCTTATGTTAAAAGTAAAAAACAGAGCAAGGACATGGTAGGCCCAATGTAGGGACAGGAAAGTGAAATTGTAACAGGTGATGAAGAGAGACAGAACTGCTCAATTCCTACTTTCCCTCAGTCTTCTCTTGCAAGGGAAATGGTGCTCAATATGGCAAAAAAAGAACACATGATGAGGGAAGGGAGTGGCAGCCAAGGATCAATATAGGGGTAGTACATAAACACCTAGGTTCTTTAACTGAAACTAAGTCCTTGGGGCCAGATGAGTGGCATCCAAGGATACTAAAAGAACTCGTGGATTTAATTTCTGAGCCTCTGTCTGTTATTTCTGAGAATTCTTGGAGAACAGGTGAGGTGCCAGAAGACTGGAGGCAGGCAAATGTTGTATCCATCTTCAAGTAGAGGGGAAAGGAGGATCTGTGTAACTACCGACCCGTCAGCTTGACGTCTATACCTAGGAAAGTTTTAGAACAAATAATCAATCAGACAGTCCTCGAGCATTTAGAAAAGATGGCTGTAATTACTAAGAGCCAGCATGGGTTTCTCAAGAACAAGTCATGTCAGACTAACCTTATCTCTTTGAGAAAGTTACTACCTTGCTGGATCGAGGGAATGCTGTAGACATAGTTTATCTTGAGTTAAGTCAGGCTTTTGATAAGGGGCCACATAATATACTTGTTGACAATTGGAAAAATGTGGTTTGGATCCTATGACTGTTAGGTGGATCTGTAACTGGTTGACAGATCGCACCCAAAGAGTGCTTGTGAATGGTTCTTCATCTTCTTGGAGTGGAATGACAGGTGGAGTGCCTCAAGGATCTGTCCTGGGACTTGTTTTGTTCAACATCTTTATCAATGGCTTGGATGAAGGGATACAGGGAATGCTTATTAAATTTGCAGATGATACTAAATTGGGAGGGGTAGCAAATACGGTAGAGGACAGAGTCAGGATACAGGATAATCTTGACAGGCTGAAAAACTGGACTAAAACAAGTAAAATGAATTTCAATGGGGATAAATGTAAAGTTCTGCATTTAGGTAGAAAAAATTAAAAGGACTGGACTGAAAAGATGGGTCATAGTAAAAAACAACAACTAAGGCCCCGGTCACACGGGCCGGATAATGCGCGCGCGGGGGGGGGGGAGGTGTGGCTACTTGCACCGCCGCAATTTAATGCACCATAACATGATCCCATGCATCGGCAGCATGCCACGGTTCCTTCCCTCCGCCTCAACGAGGAGCCGGAAGGAAAAGCGGTGCGCCAGCGCGATCACACCGACGCATTCTGGAGGCAGCCAGTGGCAAACCAGTTGCTACTACCTTCGACCAGGTATTTTTTAACTCCGCATTTTCAGCGGTATGCCACAGGTTGGCCACGGGTGTGCTCCACTTGCCCGATATTGCAGTGTGATCGCGCCCGGAAACTCTGCCATTCAATCGTGGCTCTCCAGCAGCAAATTCGCTGTGTGAACGGGGCCTAAGACTAGCAAATACCATGACAATATGTGCATAATATATCAAGAAAATATTTTTAAATGTAATTTACGCAGACAGTTGTCTTCAACAACAATGACCTTTAACAATACTAAGTACGCGGAGAACACAGGCAAGTGTAATAGAATGCCCTTTTCTCCTGGATAGTAGTTTTAAAAATGTATTTTCTGCAGTCAGAGAACAGGAAGGCAGCCCAAGTGCCTCCCAGTGTATCTATATACAAATGCTAATAAAAAGGTAAAGGTAAAGGTTCCCTTGCTCGAAAGCCAGTCGAATCCAACTCTAAGGTTGCGGTGCTCATTTGGCCGGCATGACTAAACACCAAGGCGCACGGAACGCTGTTACCTTCCCACCAAAGTGGTACCTATTTATCTACTTGCAATTTCTTGCTTTCGAACTGCTAGGTTGGCAGGAGCTGGAACTAGAGACGGGAGCTCACTCCGTCATGCGGCACCCGGGTCTCAAACTGCTGAACTACTGACCTTTCACAGCCTGCAGTTCAGCGTCTTAACCACTTGAGCCACCGCAGCTCCAAATACTAATAGGGAAAGCCAAATGGTCAAGCTTCCCCCTTCCCCAAGCAGGAAACAGAGAAGGGGGATTTGGTGCTAAGAAGTCTCCAGGCGATTCCTGGAGGTTTCCCAGGATGACTTCCAGGTGGGCTCCCAGAATGCACCTGCAGCCTAGGTGGACTACATGCATTTAACAAGGTGGGCTGTAGTGTCCAACATTTTATGCTGGAATTTAAAAGTCCAATGAGTCTTTAAAGTGCCCCTAGCCTCCAGTTTCTTTTTACTGCAGCAGATTAACACCATCAGAAGGGGATGCCAAGGTGGGCACCCCTGTGACCTCCAGAGCCTGAAGCAATGAAGATTTCACCGCCTCCTATATTCCTATTCGGAAGGTCCGGGATGAATTTGCTTGCATGAATTTGCATCTAAAGATGGGGAAAGGAAATACAGCATCGCCAGTAAAGCAGAAGGGGAGGGTCAAAAATCTTAGCAGAGCAGCAGGCAACTTTTCCAGCAGGCGAGCGGGAGAGAGGGAGATCTGTGTGTGTATGTGTCCAAAGGGACCCTGTCTTTTAGTTCTGTGTTCCCGGCGCTTCCTGGGCCGTTTCAATTCGGGAAAGTGGCGCGGGAAGGAGGGAAGGAAGGAGGAGGGCAGCGAGAGAAGTCCCTTGACGGAGACACGCGTGGCTCAACGGTTTCTGAAAGCTGCATGATGATCAGCCCCCTGAATCCCTTGCTGGGAGCGCTCTATTCGCCAGCAAGTGGTTGGGAACAGGCAAGTAAGAACTCGCGTCAATGAGCAATTGATTTTTTAAAGATTAGGAAGCGGGAGAAGGGCGTTTCCAGTCCCACAGGCCACAGAAGAGTTTGAGGAGAAGAGCGGGACGCAGGGAGGGCAGAAGCAGCGGCGGACAGATGTCTCCTCTCTGATGTAGTTGCGCGCTCCCACCCGCCCACCCCACCGCCGGAAAAAATATCACTGAACAGCGAACGGGTTGCCCAACTTGTCCTCTGCACAGAATGACATGGCGGGAAGGCTGTTTGGAGGGGTGGGGTGGGGACTGGGAGCCTGATATTTCTGGCAATGGAGACCCCAGAGGCAAGAATCAAGTGAGGGAAGGAGACGCCGGCGAGCTGGCAAGCAGGTGTTTTACAGAAGGGGGGGGGGAGCCTGAACGAGAAAGCAAAGAATACACACACACACACCCCAAAAAAAATCCCCAACCCGCTGGAAAAGTGTCCGAGCAAGTCACCTACCGGCCATGGCCGCGCGCCCTCAGGAAGCCCAGTGCGGTACCGCACGTCTGAGAGCCGCTCCGGATCGGTTAACAGCGAAAGCGAAACGAAGAACAACCCACCCACCCCCGTCGTCTTACTTCCTGCTGCTGCCGCCGCCGTCGCCGCCGCTAGGGGAAGGGCCTGCCCCCGGGAGAGCCTTTGATGCGGGTTTCTTCGGCTGTCTGGCTCGTTCTCCTCTGCCCATAGATGGAGAGATCTCGCCAAGACAGACTCCAAGCAAAGATCCGGCCGGGGAGTCGAATTTAGGAAGACTTTAGATTCAGGTGGGGTAGCCCTGTTGGTCTGAAACTAGGGTTGCCAGCCGCCAGGTGGGGTCAGGAGCAATGTTCCCTCTAAGCTGTGGAGTCTTGTGTGCAAAAATTCTACTTTCCGAGCTACTGGCATTAAAGTTGTGAGCAGGCAATTTGTCTGCTGTATAAATTAGCTTGCTCTGGAGCCATCCTTCCTGAGCTAAGGCAAAAATGTGTGAGCCAGAGGCTGAAAAACTGTGAGCTAGCTCACACTAACTCAGCTTAGAGGGAACACTGGTCTGGAGATCTCCCGCTTTTACAACTTATCTCCAGCTGACAGATCAGCTCCCCTGGAGAAAATGGCTGCTTTGAAGGGTGGACTCTCTGGCATTGCATGCTAAGGTCTCTCCCCTACCCTCTCCCAGATCCACCCCCAAAGTCTCCAGGTATTTTCCAACCCAGAGCTGGCAACTCTGTCTCAAGCAGCAGAACAAAGTGTGAGTCCAGCGGCACCTTTAAGACCAACAACATTTTTTTCGAAGTATGAGCTTTGATGCGCTTTGATGGTATCTGAGGAAAGTATACTGAGGTATCTGAGGAGGTGTGCCTGCACTCAAAAGCTCATACCTTGAATAAAACTTTGTTGGTCTTAAAGGTGCCGCTGGAAGACCTTCTGTGACAAAGCAAGTACCACAGCCGGCTAGAAGTCACTGCCTTGTCACACATCCCCAACCCAACACATACCCCCAGTCAGGGCTATTTTTGTTCCGGCTGGCTCCTGAGTTGGCCACACCCAGCAGGAACTCATTAGCATAATAGGCCACACCCAGCAGCAGAAACTCATTAGGATTGGCTACATTAGGGGTGTGTGGCCTAACATGCAAAGGAGTTCCTGCTACAAAAAAAGGCCCTGGGTTTTGACAACAAGGTAAACAGAATAAGAAGCAAAAGGTGGGTGTGGCTGGATGACCACACTTCTGGTAACATGGGGGTGTGGCCTAATATGCTAATAGGCTGTGCTGTAAAGGGTGTGGCCTAATATGCTGGGGGTTTTCTTCAAAAAAAAAAAGCCCTGCCCCCAGTGGTTGTGGGATTGGCTGCTTTGTATTATCAGCCTTGGCCCCCCAGAAGTGTGTCCTGCCAGCCACATTTGGTGTGAATTTGGAGGGGCTGCCAGCCTCCAGGTGGGCCCTGGAGATCTCCCGGAATTGCAACTGATCACCAGATGACAGAGGACAGCTCCCCTGGAGAAAATGGCTGCTTTGGACGGTGGACTTTGGGGCATTATATCCAACCCTGTTGATGTCCCTCCCCTCCCCAAACCCTCCCTTCCTTTAGGTTTCACCCACAAAATCTCCAGGCATTTCGCAACCATTAACTGGATTAAGTCCTGTGAATTTTAAAGCTACATGCCTGAGGGAGCTGAGGTGAAGACTCCTAGGTACAATGTCTTCCTTAATGGGACTTATTAGGAAATGGCTTGGCCCAAGGGTTGCCAGGTCCACACACACACACACCCGCCACTGGCCGCTGGGGGCATGCCAGCTCCAGGCTGGGAAAATCCTGGAGATTTGGGGGTGGAGCCTGGGGAAGACAGGGATCTTAGTGGAGGAGGAGGAGGAGATTGGATTTATACCCCGCCCTTCACTACCCAAAGGTGTCTCAGAGCGGCTTCCAAACTCCTTTCCCTTCCCCTCCCCACAACAGACACCCTGTGAGGTGGGTGGGGCTGGGAGAGCTCAGACAGAAACTGCTCTTTTTCAAGGACAGCTGTGCCAGAGCTTGTGACTGACCCAAGGTCACATCAGCAGGTGCAAGTGGAGGAGTGGGGAATCAAACCCGGTTCTCCCAGATTACAGTCCGCGCACTTAACCACTACAGCAACCTGGCTCTTTAGTGGGGTAACAGTGCCATACAGCCCACCTTCCAAAGCATCCATCTTCTCCAGGGGAACTGATCTCTGTAGGCTGGAGATGAGCTGTAATTCCAGGGGATCCCCAGGTCCCACCTGGAGGTTGGTATTCCTACTGCCCAGCTGGATTCAGATGAGGTGATTTTCACTTCTGGTTCTTGTTATAGTATATAGCAGATATAGTATCATATATATAAAGAAAGAACAGATTTAGATTCTAAGAGTTGTGTTTTTTTAAAGCAAGCAGACACTGCTGTGCGAGTTGGCGGAAGCACTTTGAGGGTTCAGGATCTCTCTGGGGAGCTAATGTGAGCTAGCAGATTTGCTATCCCATAGGAAGGCATCTATAATCCCCAGTACTCTTCTACTTATGTAGAGGCTTATTCAGGGCTCTGAGGTCCAATATGGGCCTTTTCCTGCCGTCTTGCTTATTTACAACAAACAATCTGGAGAAAAAAACCCTCTTCTTGGTTGTGGGAGACAATTGACAAATAGGAGGGAGGAAAAGAAAGGAGACAGGAAACTTCCTGGGATAGGAAGGTATAAGGAGATGCTGTAGAAAGCTGGATAAAGTGGAGGCATGGATCAAACTCAATGAAATAATCCTTATTTATTACAGAAATCTCAAGCATCATCAGTAATAGAGAGCCAAACCTGTGAAAAACAGGACAACCGGTCCAAAAAGAAAACTTGACTTGATAGTCAGTCTGAGGCTGATCCCCAGGGATGTTGTTCTCTTGGGGCTTGGTTTGAATGCTTACTCTTTGATCTAAGGGATTTTGTACCTTGGGTGTTTTGATTTTGGAAAGACCTGTGTGGCGAAATGGGCCTGCTCTGGCCTGCAGGCTGTGTTCAACCCTATCCTCCAAGATTGGAGAGGCTCCCCCCCCCTGTTGAGTAGCCTGCCACCACTACCTGACCTTTGTAATGAATTGCCTGCTGGGAGGTTTAGGACTCCCAGCTTCCCTTCCACGCTCTGAGGTCTTGCCTCTGTGTCTCCCACTGCCCAACATCTAGTCACCACGGGGATCATTTACTGCCTGGTGAACCCCTGGAGGAATAGTCATGTGCCAACTTCCTGTCTTTCCTCTGACACTCCTTTTAAAATAGCATGTTTGAGACAGTGGAGGTCTGTGTGGTACAGAGAACCGCTACAAGCATCAAAAGTTATAAAGTATTTATTAAAAAGAAAATGTTCTCCAGTATACTTTTAGCACAGCACCAGATTGTGCAAAAGATTCCAAATAATTTATTTTTCATATTTATATCCCGCCCATTTTGCGAGCGGGCTCAGGGCTGGTAATGTCATATTTCAACAGTTACAATAAAGTTTAAAAACACAGTATGGTCCCGGTCACACGGGCCGGAAAATGCGGGGGGGAAGCGTGGCTGTTTGCCCCGGAGCAAAATAACGCATGGCCGCCCAATCACACGTCCCGTCGAGGTCCCGTGGTTAGGGCGTGAGGTGCTGATCACACGGCTATCCTGCAGCGCGGCAAAGAAGCGGCGCGGCGCGATCACACCAGCAATCGCTAGACGCCGCTTCCATGGCAATCGGGAATATTTTTTCCCATCAGAAGGTGAGCATGCGCATGATCGTTTGTGCGCATCCTGTGAAGACTAAAAAACAAAACTAACCGCTTTGCGACGGGACTAGGACGGGACACGATCAGACGTCCACCCTTGCCCCACGTTTTCCGGAACTAGTACATCGTAAGTACTAGTTTTTTACTCCGTAACTTCTGCACGAAGCCATGGGTTAGCCAGGGGTGCGCTACACTTCCCAGATGTTGCAGTGTGATCACGCCTGGAAAATCTGCCTCTCACCCATATCTTTAGCGCGGCAAATGCTCCGTGTGAACGGGGTATATAAACATTTAAAATCAGTGGTTACAGCTTACTGGTGAAAATTCTGACCCACTAGTACAGATGAATATGGACGGTTACCGGGGGATGGATGAGAAGTAGGTGGGAGACAGCAACCTCAGGGAGGCCATGTGTGGACACCCGCTGCCTCAACCAAAAGCCTGGCGGAACAGCTCTGTCTTGCAGGCCCTGTGGAACTGAATATGATCCTGCAGGGCCCTGATCTCGATGGGGAGTGTGTCCCACCTGGTGGGGGCCAGGGCAGAGAAGGCCCTGGCCCTGGCCGAGCCTAGACAGACATCCTTTGGGCCAGGGACTGCCAGAAGATGTTGCTTATTAGACTGTAAAGCTCTTTGAGGCATATATGGGAAGAGGCGGTCCCTTAGGTATGTTGGTCCCAGGCTGTATAAGGCTTTGAAGGTTATTACCAACACCTTGAAGCAGATCTGGTACTCAACTGGTAACCAGTGCAGCTGGCAAAGCACATGCCAATCATGAGCCCTCACAGACGTTGGCATCAGCAGATACCAGTTGTAATTTCTGGATCAGCCTCAGGGAGTTGCAGTAATCAAGCCTGAAAGTGACCATTGCATGGATCACCGTAGCTAGGTCTTCTGTGTGTGTGTGTGGGGGAGATAGGGCTTCAGTAGCCTGATCTGCCTAACATGGAAAAATGCAGATCTGGCGACTGCAACAACCTGGGCCTCCATGGAGAGAGAGGCATTCAGTGTTACTTCCAGGCTCCTCTCTGTCTGGGCTGGCACCAAAGGTGCTCCTTCCAGTGTGGGGAGCCTGGTGCCCACATCCATACCCCCTCAACTCTGGTACAGGACCTCTGTCTTTGTTGGATTTAACTTCAATCGACTCTGCCGCAACCATCCAGCCACAGCTTCCGTCCAGCCACAGCTTCCAATTCAAACCTCCAAAGGAAAAATGTGTTTCTTCACACACTGTATGTTTGTTGTGGATTTTGGGGTGCCTGAAATCTGTAATCAGAGAACCTGTATGGTCTAGGAGGTT